TGACATACTTTAATTTACATGTTATTTCATTAGGTACCACTGATCTTATTGATGTACTTGATGTACTGGATGATCATGAATATTCTGGTGTTGAATATTATGATCTTGGCCTTCGTCTAGGACTGCACTCTCGTACACTTAATGTTATTAAAGAAAATAACAAAGGAAATGTTCGTAGTTGTCTAAGAGAATGTTTGGCAGCATGGTTGGAACAAAGAGATAGTGTAATGAGGAGAGGTGGTCCAACTTATAATACATTTATAAAAGCATTGAGGAAGATGGGAGAGAATGCTGTAGCTGATGGGATTGAAAGAGATATCAATAGTAAGGAATGAGTTTAATACATTTCATCTTATTTGATTGTTTCTATTTCTCTTTTCTGCACTTATGCAGAAAATGCTGTAGCTGATGCGATTGAGTTTCATTGAAAGAGAAAGTAAGGACTGTAAATAATGATTTTAATTTGTAATTACATTTTATTATAGCAAAGAAATGAGATGGTTTCATTAGAAGTAACTCTCTATGATTTATACACAGCACACATTATTATACAAATAGTTTTTTTGCAAAAATATAATGTTTTCATTTTAAATATTTTATCCATGTGAAAGCATGTGGTTTAATTATACGGGGTATAAACGGAAAATATACAGAAGTGGGAAGAGGGCAAGAGACTCTCTCCTAAGTCGAAGAATGAGTTCCATATATATAACAGAGCCCCCTACTAAAGGAAAGGTAGTTAATCCAGCAGCAGCAGCTGTATTAGTGACTACTGGCCCCTCCCCTCAGGTACTATTAAAGACCACACTGGGTGATATTGATATTGAACTGTGGTCCAAAGAGGCTCCTCTGGCCTGTCGTAACTTCATACAGTTGTGTTTAGAAGATTATTATAATGATACCATATTCCACAGAGTCGTTTTTGGTAATGGATTAATTATTATTAATTAGTGGGTGGAGTTATAATTATTAATTAAGTAGAATGACCTATTGATGTTACGTTGCTTTCCTACATGTACATGTAATTTTTATCTCTCTCTCTCTCTCTCTCTCTCTCTCTCTCTCTCTCTCTCTCTTTCTAGAGTTTGTAGCTCAAGGTGGTGATCCCACTGGTACAGGAGAAGGTATTAATTATTAATAATTATTTATACAAATACTTTTTATCTTCTCTTCAGGTGGTGAATCTATTTATGGTTCGCCATTTAAAGTGAGTCCATTGTTACCATGACAACCCTCTAACCACACCCACTCTAATTAACAGGATGAGTTTCATCAGAGACTCAGTTCAATAGACGTGGTCTGGTGGGAATGGCCAATGGAGGAAAGAATGATAATACCTCACAGTTCTTTATAACGCTGGGAAGAACTGATGAACTTAATAATAAGAATACATTATTTGGGAAGGTGAGGGGTGTGGCTAATAATGGTTGATGGGTGGAGTTTATGTTAATTGATTAATTAATATTGTGTTGTAGGTGACTGGTACCAAAAAATGGTTCCAAAATGACTCCCAATTTTTATTACATTTTCTGATACATATTGATGTCCTAATACTGTGTAGAAAGT